GGGTTGCAAGATAACAGTAGAATGAGCGCGCGCATGAGAAGTTTAAAACTGTTTGGAGGGCGGTAAAATATTTCTCGAGTAAAAATAGCACGGGATTGCAGCAGTCATTGTCAACCTCGTTCAGGGACGATTTATTAATGTCGAGTCTTTCATGATTCTGGTACTTTATACCACACAAACACTTGACTGCAATTAGTTACAACTTATTGCACTATCGATGCAGATTTGCACTTCATTAGCAATTATTGTAACCAATGAAACCCAAGAAAAAGTATTCTTTTCGAAGAGACCTTCGGTAGAGAGTCTTAACGAAATATGTTTATCAGAAATGTATTTATTATGTACACATTTAATTTGAAAAGAACTAACACTGTTGATTTGAGGTATTGGCGTATGCAATTTTCACATATAACATTACAAGCACGTAAATGTTACAAAATTCACTGAAATATTACAAAGACGAACAAACACAACATAAATTAATTCCTCTCAATACATAGGTAGTTCAAATACATCTAGGTAGTCACATTAAACATTGATACATTACGCTACAATTTATTTTTAAATAAAAAAATAGTCATGCATATCATCAGCATTTCATATCGCAGAAACTATTTCCCTGAAATCATGAACTGGTATAGGCTACTTTAAAAAAACTAAATGTAACATTTAAAATGTACACAATGCGAAATGCTAAACTTACAACAAGCAGAACAAATAAGATAACTATCACTGTATACAAAGACACAATCATATATATTTATATATATACAAGCTCAGATCAAAGGTTTGTGCAATCTAACATTACAAAATGTTGGCTATCAATAATAATCTACTGTTGTTGTGCATGAGGGAAAAGACAGGCTAATTCACATCTGCAGTGCGCATTTACAGCTTTCCATTTTTTAAATGTCTTTTGGACGATCTTTATTGCATTTCTTCATCTTCATCCTACGGTTTTGGAACCAAATTTTGACTTGTCTCTCGGTGAGATTTAGGAGTCTTGCCACTTCATATCTACGGTCGCGTGAGAGGTACATATTAAACAGAAATTCTTTCTCCAGCTCGAGAGTTTGATGCTTAGTGTATGGACAGCGCTTTTTCCTAGTGGACTTCGCGTACAGCCAGTTGGACGCAGGGTTATCTGCAAGAAGGGTCGGAGAGAAAGAGCTAGTCATGTTGCCACTTGAAAAATACTGCGGCCATTTTATGGCCAGCGCGCGAGAAGAAAGAAGAGTCTAAAATAAAGGCTACTTGACTATAATTTTTTATATGCTGAGAAATTGGAAAGCAATATCATGGATTAAATGTTTCCGGCCTGCGGGTAATATAGTTTATATGATCGAAATTTTTATGTGACAGTTTTTGGCATCCTTGAATGAAGGGTAAACAAGGGCCTTACTGTCTGTTAGAAGAAAAACAGTCCAGATTGCATGCAATAATTGTGCTTTATACAATTTAATCCAATGTATTGTGTCTAAAACCACACTCTAAATTTAGGGCAGCACTTCAAATAATTCTTGAAAATATGACATGCAGTTGTCTATATTAATGCAAATGTGTGGTTTTTAATTACTGGACACTTTCCATTGAAACAGGCATATATGCTGTCAAATGCAAATTCAGATTATTGCCACACACAGAACAAAAAGAAAAAAGAAAGGGCTAGAAGACCTTTAGCTTTAGGCCTATATAGCTACTGGAAAATGCTGGATAGCTGATATATGAATGCATAACAATCTACAATATATCTCTTCTCTCATTACAATTCAAACCGGCTCCCATTGTTTAGTCTGTTTGAGTAGCCAAAAATGGAGCCTGTTCATATCAAAACACATTCTGATAGTTGCACTTACTTGGGTCTATATCTAGCTTCTTCTCTGCTGGAGTTTTGTCATCCTGTGATCCGTTGGAAACCGCATCGTCAGGTACCTTCCTCTCTGCTTGGCTCGTATTGTTGTCAGTCTCGGCCACAAGGAGTGTATGCGTGGTGCACTCACCACTCCCAACCAGTGGTTCTAGTTTTATATCATGGTGCGTATCTGTGGATAATCCCGTGAAAGGAAGGGCAGGAAGCGGTTCTAGCGCCCAGGAACGCACGGATGATCCATCGGGTTCTCCTGTTGAACATGGGTGATGAATGTACGGGTGGTAGGCGATAGATGCGCCTGTGGGCTGCACTGGCACGGGACCCCACGACGCACCGAAAATTGACGATTTGGCCTGGAAAGTGTACGGCTCCTGTTCGCCATATTCAAGTAGCGTCAGTTCGCGAGCCTGCTGCTGGACCAAGAGTCCAGATGAGAACCTCGGTGCCAAATGATCGTCATTCTCGTGTGGAATGTGTGAGTCAGCGTAGTAACTCAGTGTCCCCAATGTCGACATAACAAAAAACAAGCAGAGAGAGAGAGCAGCCGGACGGATACACCCACAATGAAACTGCCACAAAAGCAGAATCCGTTGAAATCAAGTAACTAACTAGCCTACTTGACTTCGCGGTGAACTACAGACCTCTGATAAGTTGAATCACTGCAGAGATTGGATTGGATGTGCTAGACACGTGACTGTGGGAGATAAAGGGGAAAGCCTAGCCAGTACGCACGGTTAAATGGCCTCCATTTTACAAGTCATATTTTTAATGGTATAGCCATATGCTTTTATGAAGGTGGATTTGCTTTTATTAATGTTGTTAAACTTCAGCATCTAATAACCGAGCGTAACAAAAATGGTTATTTGAGACGCGTCGTTGTAGAAGTTCGTATCCAAATTTTAATGGAGTAGGCCTACTGTTTGCAATAATAAAATAAATCCCTAAAGGCGTTTACGTTGTCATATCATTGTATAGCTTAATCACTGACGTCCAGTTCAACATCAACCTTGTTTTAGACAGAACATGTTTATTTTTCACAAATTCTGCAGAAAAACCTATGATGAATACACGTATTCCGCATTGCCTAGTCGAGCACAAGGAGACATAAAATAGTTCAGACATAAAAATGATCTTTACGTGAGCCGTATGTATACTTTATATGGCAATAAGTGCCACTTGGATGGTTGAGATATGACCTGCTAAGTGACCAGTCAGTCATAACGCGCGCGCAAACCTTCAGTCTTCTCCTCAGATGAGATAGCGTTGGATGTGCACACAAGTTAAACTAAATCTGAACGCGAACGACTGATTGTGAATTAAATCTAACTGAGAAAAAAACAAACAATAGGGCTACAAAAACTTCAGATCAGATGCTACTTCTACAAAATAGACAATTTGTTTTATATTTAAAATTAAGCTTTACGCATCAAAATAAAATCTTACAACAGCTGTGAAATATTAAAATGTAGAGATTAAAACGGTGCAAATAAATAAATTAATAAATGGTCAACCCTGCAAAAACAGATTCAATCATGATTTTTTTTTTTAAATCATCTATCACAATATTATGGAACAATCACAATTTTGTTGCAAGGCTATACTGTTCTTGTATTCGTTATTAAGATAATATATATAGCAGAAAATATTTGTTTTACAATATCCCACAATGTAAAAAAATATGATTAATAAGTTATGACAACATGTTTTTACATTGCTTTAACTAATCAAAATAATTTTAGCAATCTTCAACTTTTTTAATAGGTTATAAAGGAATCAACTAAATTTTTTAAGTCAGTTTAGTGTAATTTAAGTTGAAATGACTTAAACATCCAAGTTGATTGTAGGCTATACTTAAAAATTGTAGGCAGCAATTTTTTGGCTTTATTCAGTGAAATAGTGACTTGTATTGCAGTGTTATATTTAAGCATAAACGTATCGTTGGACAGCATATGTTATAATCACTCAGAATATAAACAACAGCCTGCGTGGTGTTTGAAAATCAGAAACGTTGTTATTGTAACGTAAACTGTGACTATATACATTGTTGTTATAATGGGAAATAGTTTAATTTAATGCTGATAACAGTACACTCTTTTTTAGCCTTATCCTTGAAAACATTGACAATAGAGGACAACCATTGGCGACCAGAAGCAAATTCTCTCCCTCTGGTCAATGAGCATGTGATCTTGTCCTCGGAAGAGTGGATCTCTGGGCACTTCAACAGACTCTGTTTATAACAGGGGCTATTACTCTGTTTTTCTTCGGGTTGTAACTTGGCTGTCTGGCCTGAATATGGCCAATAAAGCCTTTGTGTTTTTTTCCTCCGGCCCAGCAGACGCATCCGGCAATGTGGGCGTGCTCTCAAGTCTCCGATGCGCACGCGGCTTTGGCCAAAGTGCATTGATCGTAACCGAGGCCTTGCTATCTACACCTGCACTCCACCATTTACTTTTTATACTGATCTAAAGATTTCAGTTCAACAGTGCAATTCACGCATTCATTAACGTCGTTAATATATAAACGTCGTTAATATATAAAATGTTGTTGAGAATTGCATGCTGGTGTTTTTGTTTTAGCTAGACTAGTTCTAATTAAACTCTTCTCAGACTTCGCCGCAACATATTTGTCTGGTTGTTGTGCTGAATCTCACTGCGAGGCAATTAAGACAGTTTCTTGTTGTGGGGATGTAAAATAGAGCCCAACAACATGAAACTACCTAAATCACTTAGCAGTTGTCTTTGTTTCTTGCTTGAGGAGATAAGTAAGAAGGCGACGCTGTATTTGTATCTATTTATTTTATCGACATTCTGTGTTGCACAAGCAAATAAGTACAATAAAACTGCTGTGATCCTACCAATGCTTAAAAAAATTGTGACCTTTCATGGAATATTCCCTCGTATTTAAATTAGATTAAATAATCTGTATGTCGACAGGAATAGATTTGTCACAGGAATAGGAATGATTGGAATAATAATTTTTGTGTGACTTTTCACGGGACCAGTACTGTGCAGATGAAATAATATAAATCATTTAATTTTACAGTCAGTAAAATTACAGTCATTACTCCATTACAAATCCCCGTTATAAAGAAAACCAGGAGTGTTTCAAAGAATCGTTTAAAAGTTGGCTATTAGTTTTACGTACATGCCTTTATTTATTTTCTGCCACGTATATGAATAATTAATTTACATCTGAGTCCAGCCTGTGTTTTCAGAAAGATTGTACCTTTCAATCCGGATAAAACAATATAGGAAGTCCCGTCATGTTTATAACTATACAAGTTTCTAAGAACTGGACTTATGCCTAGAACAGCAAATAGGTTACATGACAAGGTCGTACTTAAGAAGAAACGTATTGTTATTATTTAAAATGGTTCCATAATACTTATTATTATTACAACATGCAAATATCGCAATTATATACAATAAATGTACAATATAGTCTGAATGCTATGTACAATGAACACATTCAGCATAGATATTTTCCTCTCTTGCTTTTACAGTGAAGTCTTGACAGTTTATAAATAACCATGACATGTTATGACGACTGGGATGTCAAATAAAATTATACATAAACAGATAAAAACGTCAACAGTATACGACACACAATAAGTTATCAATAGTATCTTGCACCAAGTCATATATGCACACACACACACACACACACACACACCTACGGAGACGGTTTGTTGTATGGCTACCACTGCAGCTGATGGAGGAGGAGGGCGCCAGAGATCTATAAAGCGAAGAGGCTTCATGTAAAACTGAAGTTGGTCGACAACTCTCGGATTCTGTTTTCTCGACTCATTTTCTTCAGCTTCATCCGTCGGTTCTGAAACCAGATTTTGACTTGTCTGTCCGTGAGGTGAACACTGCGGCTGATCTCGAGGCGACGCTCTCGTGTCAAGTACATGTTGAAGAGGAACTCTTTCTCCAGCTCTAGTGTCTGGTGTTTGGTGTAGGGGCATCGCTTCTTGCGGCCACTCTTCGCAGTCAGCCAGTTAGCTGTACTCTCACTTTTGGAATCTCCTGCTGGAAATGTGAGGAAAATATTAGTTCAGTATTAGCCCCCATTCCACAACACTTTATAATAGGCTCAATACGCCTAATTATAGTCTACCAATTAATGACTAAAGGGTAACACTTTATTTTACAGTGTCATTGTTACATATGTTACATGTAGTTACTATAGCAATAACTATAAATTATGCATAATTACATGCAACTAACCATAACCCTGTACAACACTCGAACAAAAGTTACTGCATTACATTTTTAAGTACAATCAACTTGGATGTTTAAGTCATTTCAACTTAAATTACATTAAACTGACTTTAAAAATGAGTTGAAAATTGCTTAACTTATTTTGATGAGTTAAAGCAATGTAAAAAATTGTTGTCATAACTAAACATTAAACAGAATTTTACAGTGTAGGTACATGTAGTTACTTAATATTACTCAGAACTTAAATGTTTATTGCAGTGTAACAAAGACACCTTAGTGTCACCGACTAAAGTAACAAAATCCGTAAAATAATTAGGCACATCAAGTATACATTATAGCCTATTAGTATAGGCTACTTGCGTAAATATGTTCTTCTAACATTGTTTTAATGTAAATGATGACCTTTGTGAGATTATTGCGTGTAGCCATATTAATAATATTGTCGTACAATTTATTAATTTAGTGTTTTACTATTATCTGAAAGTTAAAATAGATTTTTTTTAAATCAATATTTCGTTTTTTTATGTTTTTTTTTTTTTTTTGTTAGAACAATTGCCTTATAAAGGCACTGATGGCGACGCTTTATCGGTCGTTTCTTGTGGAAAGATTAGAAGTATAAAAAAATTGTTCACGGGCAATGTAACTAAACAAACTCGCCACATATGCATCTAGAATTATTTTATAACCCACATTAGGTGATCTCACCAGATCTCAAGTTGTCACAAACAGCATAATGAAAAACAGGCTTGCTAAATACATACTGAAAATGGGGATAGTCCATGGGTCGTGACTCGTGAGCAATAGGCCCTATTTGCTTTTTGAACGTTTAATGTGATCGTTTAAAAAAAATGAGATACATTTGGGAAACTGAAGCACAGTTTTGCGTTTGACACAAAGGAATATAGTGCTATGTGAATGTGTGTGTGAACATTAATAAAATGTGCACTTTTATTAAATTATATATTTTGAGCAATATGTTTTAAATGGTCTGTATGCTATTAAAAACGAGTGCTTTAAAAACTAGAGAAAAAACAATCAAAATACATTGCATTTGTCTCGATGGAATGCTGTGTTATGTGTAAAGGATTACAGACAGACACAATGACTTAAGCTGAATTGGTTTGGGCGTGCTGCACCTCCTCAGAAATTTATTTCTAAATGAGAAGAATCACGCACATGATTATGCTTACTAAACTTGCCTTATGGGGTGTTTAAAATAAAAATATTACTGTATATGGAATCTACAAAAAAACAAATCCATATATTTATCGCGCGCAAAGGCGTTAATGTTTCCATACGCGCCCAAAGGACGTCCAAAATCCGTTGGACTTTAAGACTGGGCAACAAAACTAACCTTTAGTAACAGTGACCGCCTTCTCCGGGCTGTCCGGTGGCTCGGGAGATGAAGCGGTGCCAGTGGACCCCCTTAGCTCCTTGTTTCTTCCCGGGGCACATGGTGCGCATGCGGGGGGTTCTTCGCTCTCTTCCCGGCTCGCTTCTGCTGCTATGGCTGAAAGAGAGCTGTCAAATCGGCTCGAGCGTTGAGCAGCAGCAGCAGCAGCAGCAGCAGCAGCAAGATGAGTCGATATAGACTGGTTGTCTGGAAAACCTTTAGATGTGCTGCACGTCTGAGATAGACGGAAGTAACCGGGCACCGGAACACAGCCGTTATTGTTGCTAGATGGACATGAGTTCGGTGTCAGCCGCGAGTACGATATATCCTCTGTAACGGTGTCTTTTGGACACTTCTCAGACTCGTATAAGCAGTAAGAGTTTTCCTCTTTTATGGTAGGCGAGAACGAGCGTGGGGTAATTTGGTTGTTAGGCTGTTCAATGCGACAGGACCTCGACGTCTCCAGCCATGTTTCCATGCCTTGATATGGCCCACATGTAGCAGGTACTACATTTTGCGAATTGCCCTCGTTCCGTTTGAGTCCAGAAAAATAGCCACAGTTCGACAGTCCATAAGAATACTCTGAGGTCGGCTGCAAGTAGACTCCGCTGTTTTGGTAGTAGTGTCCACTTCCCTCGGCCCTTCCGTGGATCAAGGAGTCTACCAGAAACGAGTTTCCAGATGGACTATCGGAGCATGACATCTTTGTGGTATAATTTGACGGTGGAAGAAGATTGCCCTTTCTGGATGACATTTCTTGTGCAAAACATGCTGAATATAATTACTGATAACTATACAACTCGTTGCGAGCTAACAGCCAATTAAATCGCAACGAGCACCGATGACTCCTCCCTCTGTGCGCACGTAACCCTTGTGTCCCATATCTTTTTCAAGCTAGATTTTTTTAAAAGTCAAATCTACATTAACCTGATCACTCGTTTTTCGGAAAGTATAAGCGAATAAAAACAGAATTTAACTTGAACAGCATTATGTTTACGACCACTGACTTCGTTAACACTGACATTGCCGATGAGCCTTGTGAGCCACGTATAAAACCAAAAAGCAACAAGGTATCGAAAAGGAGATCAAGTGCTAAAATTGTAAACCTTTATGATACACTGTAATTGCCCCAACAGCCCTTTAAGCACATAAACAGTGAGTTACAGACTGCTCTTCTGGTTTTCATGCACGCGGTGGGTCAAAACAATTTATTTACACTCAAGTTCAAAAGGAGAGGCGGCTTTCAGAAACACTCAATGAGGCGGATGTGGATTTCCATAGAATATTATAAACATTTAGCATGTGATCATCTTAAAGCTACATATAGGCCTATTTAAGCTTTATAATTACAATTGTGAGACAAATCGTTTAAAAGCTATAATAACCTTCATACATATAGAGACAAAACCACAAACCCATGGCATTTCAATAGCAATTCCGATAGCAATTTTAACGCAATTGTTGAATGTGATTCACCTTTGCCTATTTTTGACGTTCAGGGGATATTTCCATCTGAAAAGCAGCCTGATGTCCGCAGTTGTAGGCTATGTCATTTGATTTGCATTTAATTGCAGGAAATACAATTACAATTTTCTTTTCTCAGATTTGGGTTACTTTTGCCCCCCCCCCCCCCCCCTTTTTTCGGTCTATGTGGCTGAAAAATGTGGTTACTTTATTTCTGAATTTTTTTTTCCAACGGGTTTTAAATAGGCTACTCTGATATTTCCACAAAGATCCAGAGATAGGCCTATATTTATATGTCCATATCATTAATCGTCTTATAGCTGAAATTAACATATTTCTGATAACAAGATGACCATGCGCGTTTAAAAAGCGACTAAATCGAACAATTGAAGGACTCGACTCGAAAGAACCATTGAAAAAAAATGGGACACCAATATAAAGAAATAAACTAATTAAACTAAAAATAATTCTTGATAGTAAATTGGTGTCCCTGCTCCAATAATCATGTTTTGAATCACATTGTGGAATATTAACGAGTGAAAATGTCACCATAAGAGACAGGCTTTTTATCGCTTAAAATTAAATAATTATTATTTGAAAGTTAACCTTTTCGGCTACGTTGAGAGATTAATTTTAATGATTGGAATAGGCTACGTTTATTTAGATTACATTTATTACATTATATTTATTTAGGCCTGGCAACTTTCTGCATCAGGAAATAAACGGGCATTGTTTTAAAAGTCAATGGAATTGTATAGCCTATTAATTAGCCAATAAAGACGAATAAAGAGATAAAGAGAATTTTATTTTTTTATTTAACACATCAAAATAATCCGCAAAATACGTCTTTTTATATTGCTTAGGAAACCTTTTGGAATAAAAAACTATAGGCCATCAAGGTAGGCCACAAGAATCAAAACAGGTCTACAATTTCTCAAAATTAGCCTACTTAAAAAAAAAAAAAAAGCTCTGATATCAGGAACAAACAAACACTTTCGAACTAATACAACTAGTTACAACTTTTGTTTTTTTAATGAAGGTTTTTTTAATCATTAAACTTTACATGTAGGCTACGTTTGGAACATTATTGTGTTATGGTTATCTAAAAAATAATAATCAATAAATACAATGCTGACAAAAAAAATATCTAAATGGTAGCTTGGCTGTATTTAGGCCTACCTGAAACAGTGCCTTGTATAGTCACGAAGATGTTGTCCTTTGCCCGCACACAAAGTAAACATGTTTCAGCAGGGATTTTAGATACCCGGCAATGACATTGATCTAAAGTGCGCCACCCAGTGTACATGAAGTGTATCGTCGGCGCTGCGAAATAGTGAACAATCCAGTCGTGGTGCCATGATGGGACACTGAGACAAATGATGGCGGAAAAGTCCGTGAACACAAGCTTTCAATGGTTCCAGCCGTTGTTTTCTAGCTCTTAGTCACAGTTAATAACCTTGGTTCTCAGACGGTTTATGGCACCTCGCTCCAATTCTACAAATGCTCCAGACTAAGACTGGTTTTATGGCCGAGTTGCTGCAGCAACGGGGGGATGTGCCGTAATTAGAGCGAAATTCCATCGAGCCTCAAAGGATGCGCAAACCGTCAGGGTCATCGCGTAAAACAGTCCTTATTATCTTACGGTCACCCAGGCTCGCCCTGGTTTATTAGACTTCCGAGTGGCATAAGCCATATCAGATTTGTGACCCTCTCGCACTGGATCATCGATATATTGATACAGGGAAACTGTAAAATTATGAAGTAACGAGACTTGCTCATGCAAGACAAAAGAACTTTCCTTAGAGTTTAATTCTCAAGAAGGTTTGTCTAGATGTTAGCTATACATGCTTTCAAAACACCAATATAATACGAAGACTTATCTGGATGTTCGACATGGAACAATTTGTTGAAAGGCCATTTGATTCATGGAAACATACACAGCCATGTTTTTTGGGCAGTTCCGTAATGGATACTAGAGGCATTAATAACGGCAAACACTTGATCCTTGAATCAAAGAAAACGCGTGGAGGCAATATAACGCAATATCCATCAAACATTTGATACTGCTCCAGGAAAAAGAGAGAAAACACGAGATATTTCAAGAGACTGATTTATATATAACACTGAAGAGACGTCATAAACATGAGAGATTATTGTGAACATGAATGAGCTCCTGCAACATTGATATATATATTTTTTCACACGTTTTAAAGAAAAGGGTTGAGAAAACACAGAATTAAAATACAATTGAGGTTCGGGGTTTCAGAGGGACTCAAGCAGTGTCCGTGCTGGTTCAGTTATTGCTTTAGCCTTAATGCCTAATGTCTGTTGAAAAATAAATAAGAATTTTGCCTCTTTTTTTTTGGACAATTTTGAACACAAGTGTTAAGTGGCTCGATTTTACTGGAGAATGCGCAGTAAGACGAGTAATATCAAATATACACTTTAAGTTCACACAATTCAAGTAGGCTATAAGAGAATATAGAGCTCATGATGCATTTAGATCACAATAAGCTCATGAAATATGCGTCATTCAATGAGAAAGTTTTTTTTTTCTAATAATGTAGGCCTATAAAACACAAGGAACAGTATTTAACGGTAACACTTTATAATAAGGTTTCACTAGTTTACATGAACTAAGAATACTGCACTTCTACAGCATTTATTAATCTTTGTTAATGTTGATATCAGCATTTACTAATAGCCTACATTATTAAAATCAAATGTTTTTCTTAATGCAATGTGAACTAACATGAACAAACAAGGAACGACTGTATTTTTTATAATTAGCAAAGATTAATAAATAACAAATGTATTGTAACAAATGTATTGTTCATCGTTAATTCGTGTTAGTTAATGCATTAAGTAATGTTAACAAATGAGACCTTATTGTAAAGTGTTACCTATTTAACAGATTGAAATCACCTTCATGTCCACTAGTATCTTGCCCTCCCAAACATTTTTTTCCATATAAACAAATTTCAAGCATATACTTATACTGCTATATGACACATATGTAAAAACTACAGATCTTGGTAAGATAATAATAATAATAATATCAAAAACAAAATCCCTGTAAACTGAATAGTCACTTAACTGAATAAAATGAAACATCATAATAATAGTTTTAAATTCAAACGGAAAAGATTACAGATAATATAAATGAATGTTTATGGATGAAAAAGTCTTTCAGAGGAATAAAGCTCGCATCTCCTCTGGGAGCCGGAATGTTCATCCACGAACTTGAAATTAACCATCTCGCCCTATAAATGATTCCGATCTAAAGCAAAGGGTTCGTGGTGTAATACTGCAAACGGTCTCTGTTTAGTTTTTTCTCTTTCATTCTTCTGTTTTGAAACCATATTTTGACCTGACGGTCGGTGAGGTTGAGCATTCTGGAAAGCTGTAGCCTTTTTTCTTTGTTGATGTAAACACTGAAGAAAAATTCTCTCTCCAGCTCTCTGATCTGATATTTCGTGTAAGGACACCTTTTTTTCCGTGTCTTCTGTCCATCTGCAATATAAAGAAGAAAGACAGTCAATGCCTTTGACCTTTAAATTTAAATAATTGCATAGAAATAATATACAATTTAAATAAATGCTTACAAAAGAGACAACTGAATAGCTTATTAATAGGCTATACACCCAACTGCCGTTCCCCCCACAAAAAAAACTGTTGCGGTTATCTAAATCTGACTGTAATAATTAAACGATAGGCCCCTAAATCAGTAATAACACATTATAGTCTACATTCAGCCCTTAAATTGCTATTTTAATGAAAAATCGAGTTCTACAACTATACACACTCGTGAAGGCTCATTTGATTATAATGGAGGCTTAACATTTCACTTCTTTTCATTCACCACAAAAGTAAAAAAAATAATAATAATAAAAAATAACCACATTAGAAAACTGATAAGATTTGCCTTTTAATATTTAACAGGAACTCAAGTCAGAACAATACCAAACAAAAATGCTCTTTAAATTCCCTGACGTGCAACGTGCAGTCAGAGGCGATAAATAAGCACAGGATATCTATGATCTCTTAAATAACGCTGCATTAACAAATAGCCCGACTGTAATGAAGTCTTGAAAGCATGTTTTCGAAGACTCGAAAGGAAATGGCCTATCATTCACGGCCAATTTCAATTTCGAGCACGTGATCTCGCGTTTATAACAAAGTTTTGTTAGGGTAAATATACAGGGCCCTCTGTAAACCTTATATGCTTATAAAACAGCATATAAAACCTTTAACAACAGCACGTTACATCAGAAACTTTCTCGCGCAACTGCTTGAATACGTACTGCCGCTGCTGCCGCTGAATTTCTCTTCGTTGTTACCGGAAGATGGCTCCGGGCTGCTGGTTTCTTCACACCGCTCTGCCTCCTCTGTTCCCCGGCAACTGTCGCTGCCTGAGTCCGCGGGCGGAGGAGGCGCCTTCCCGGTCGCTCTGTCCACCGGATGCTCGCTCGGCTGGTTTTCCACGTTCCCGTACGCTGTCTCGAAAAACTGGTCAAACGCTTGGGGAAGCACTCCGTTCCTCCCCACGCTGCCATGATACACGTTGGCCGAATGGCTCGTGTTGGAGTGGTAAAGAACCGAGTTATTTTTCGATAGCATGTCCCCCAGAGTTCCAGGATTGGACAGGCAGTCCCTGTGCACCATGTCCTCGGTCGCGTAGCAATGTGGCAGATTGCCCCTGGAGTGCCACTTACTGGACGTGTCAATGGCATAGTCCCTGAAAGACACTTCTCTAACGCTCTGAACTTGTGGCAAACTGGACGTGGAGTATGAGTATGTCATGGGGCATGAAGACGGGGTCTGGGGCAGAAAAGGAGGAAGGCTGGAAAATTCCGTCCCAGACACGTAATAAGTACAGCCGGGCAAATACATGTTAGACCCAACGGGTACCCGCTCATCAAAATCCATCATGACACTTGGTTGGGCACGCCACAACCATAGTACTGCCTCGCATCGTCGTACAGAAGTGCTTCAGCTTCACTGGCTTTGAAGCAGATCCGCCGAGCAGAAATTTTTTGAGACGTGAGCTGACGTGGAGATCCATCTCCATCCATTCCAGAGAGCGCCAGTCATGTGACCAAGGGCAGAAATTGACATGTACCTCTTTGAATATTGTATGCCAACATGTGCAGATGTTCAAGTCGTGGAGTGAGCGATTCTTTCATTGATGAACGTGTGCATGCAGTGGACCACAGTTGGTTATGTTGACACTTTGGATTGCTGGAGAAACCCATCCGCATGCTTAAAGCCAACGCGCCTTACTAAACATTACCATGGCTTCTCATGTTTATGGATTTGTTCTATTAAGTCTCAGACATAATTTCGCTGTAATTCTCTCTCTCGCTGTATTGGCTCTTAAAAATTAAGATGCCAGGAAGGAACAAAAAGGATATTTCGCAGCGATGTGTACAATTTGAATTCGCAAGTGAGGTTCTTGTTAATTGAGAGTTGCATGTAATAAACTAAATCGAACATAATGGTAAGGCTGTGTGGGGGAAATAAAACAGAATTACGTTATGTGTTTCATATATTTGCATTTATTTCACAATAGTCAGTTCAGAACAATTAATATCCTTCGACCAATTCGCGCAAGAATACATTACGCTTTTACTCATTTGAAGCCCTTCTGAGGTTTTACTATATTTGGACATTTAGATGATGTTGAAGCAATACAAGGGAGTTTTTTTTTACAAAAGGTGCCTTTGCATGAGCATGATGATGAGCTAGTATTATTTATAATCAGACTGTTCGAAATAAAGGTTCCAGAAGGGGTTTTCGCAGAGATTCAATAAAAGAACCATTTTTGGTTCCCCAAAGAACTTTTCAGTAAACAGGTCTTAAAAAAACGTTTTTTTTTTTAGTGTGAAGAACATTCTAAAAATACAAAGAGCCTTTTTCCACTATACCTTTTGTGGACTGGAAAGATTACATAGATGTTAAAGGTTCTTCATGGAACAATCAATGCCAATAAAAAACCTTATTTTTAAGATACCTTTAAGATACCTTTATTTTTAAGAGTGCTACATACAATTGCAATTAATTTAGATTGTTTTAGTTTTAATAATATGAGTTTTAATTTTGACTGCAGAATCTGGCTATTTAATTAATTACATAATATGAGTAGTACACGTTCTTGTACAAGTACAAGACTTGTTTTGAGCGCCATTTGGTTCAAACCTATACATAAATTAGCTATATGTTTGTTTGTTTTTTGCCTCTTTATTTAATCATTTTTTTCACATACCCACAGTAGCCTATTTATTCAAAAACACAATTTACAATAAGGGTACATTTGCGTTCTCCTGTGCAGAATTCATGAAGCGTTTTACGCTTGCCAAAAAAATCTTTTAAGGTAGCCTATAGTCTGTGTATAAGGCAAGACAAAGGCAGAATTTGCCCGGGTTGGGCACTAGAGTCATGCAGTGAAGCGGCTTGAAACCACGGTTGAGGCCCATTAAGTTTTAGCTTAAGGCCCCCTAGAATTACTTTGGATTAAACCATGAACAATATCCGAAAATCTCAAAATACATACATTTATGAACAAATAAAATAAAAAGAGAAGCATGTAAAGCGAGTGCATGTGGTCAACAACGAAAATGCGCTCTTTGTGAGATTAGAATGGTTCGCATTTTCCCATATTGTCCACGCTGATTTCGTTGGTAATATAGCTTTTAATGAGTAGCCGAATCTTGTGCTGGGAGGCAACAAAAACTAAAACCAGTCCAAGACAGACGTGGTTTTATGGTGCTTTTGGTATCTTCCTCCAGCCATTGTCAGCTCAGACAAGCCATGGCCGTCGGAGAGTGATCATGAGACGCCACCTACTTGGAATTCGTGAACTTCAATGAGACCTGAAGTCACGGGTAACAGTAGCATATTAAAGGGAGACAACGGCCCCGTGCGTTGTATCGGGTGAGAGTCCTGTTTTTAGCTTCTTCCAGGCTTAAATCCACAAGATCAAATGCACGTGTTCATAAGGTGATCATGCATGTTTCGGTTAGTAATTATAATCTAGCTAGGCTATTTATAGAGTTAAAATAGATGTAGGCCTAGGCCTAGTTAATTCAGTGTAGCGTTGTTGACTAGGCCCACGCCTGGCTCCATATGACTCCACAAATAAATGATTTAATCTTTACATTGCGTTTTGGCTTTTTTGAGAGTTTGTGAGCAAGACCTCAAGGGTGATGGTCACTTCCACATAGTAAGTGGTAGTTTACAAATAGCCCAAACAGCGCCCCGGATGAGGTTTGAGGGTTTCCACGAGTAGGCTATATGCTTGATTGTATTGCACGGAACTTTGGCATTGTATTCAGCATTGTTTTTGACTCACCCGAATTAGGGAAGGAATTAGGCAAATTACCGATAAACTTAACTTTTCGCACTGGATCAAGTTAGCACTTCTTTCTTGAGAGGCACAGTAATTGGTACAGTCCAAGCCAATTTGTCATCACTTCTACTCAGAACAAATAAATTTGTTCTGTGTTCGACTCAATCCACTTTGAAAAGTTGTGGGTTTTGGATTTTTTAACAACCCAAGTCTCCTCTGAAATTGTAAATAGTTCAATGTCGTGTAAAAGCGCGGTAAAGCTCGCGCAAAATCCTATTTGGCAAATGCAGTGAATTTCACAACACTAATTTCAATTCAATGCGTTTAAAGAAATTTAGATTTGGCCATACAAAGCTCTTTAAGTTGGAATAATTAAATTATGTTCTTGTGTTTAATGACGTCTAGACAATTTGAGAATGCGAAGATTATAAATAGAAATGGCACTTTAAATTAATTTAATGCCATATAGTTATAAACCTGCCATTATATAACAAAATAGTTTGTAGCAAGAGTCTATATTTAAAAAAGAATGCATTCGACGAATATAATCTTGCACAATTTGTGATTAAGATTAAAAAAAGAAACGACAATGTCATTTTGATGTGAAAATGAGATTTTACTGTCGGGGTGTCCTTCCGCTTTGGTGCATTTACCGGGTTTGATCGTCTTTTCCCTGCATGTTTTGTCGCAGTGCAGTTGAGGGCCCACTTTTAATATTTACATGGGAATGACGTAAGATAAAGGCTTGAAAATGTATAGGCTAATGCCCTATGTCTTTATACGTTTTTACTCTGTAACCACTTACGATTTGTGTGAATTATAGAAAATAATACCCCCCTGCTTTTGTTTTCTGATTCCCGACACATTGGCTGAAGAAGGTTGGTAACGAGTGAACCTAAACCCAACCTTTGCCTTGCACTTGCTCGGTAAAGTTTGGTGAGTGTCGACGTTGATGTCACGCTGACCTGGGAAAACAAAACAGTTTTACAGGGGACCACATTTATCAGAAGTGCAGACCTGCATAGAAACCAAACAAGTGAAATAAAACTGTGGCTGAAAAATATGTTGATATGAACGGCCTTAATGCGCCCTTCACTGGGAGGAAAATGCGATAAAACGCTTTAAAAAAGTATTAAAATAGCACACTTTCGTCTAATTTATGTTATTGAAACCTATCTAAATATAAATTAGGGAAAAGGCGCGTTTCATAAATTAATGTTATAATTTATAGTTTAGTAAAACAAATTTTATAAAATATTTTAGTTTAGTAAACGCTTTGTTCGTCATCATCATTTTAGTTAAAAAACTAAAATGTTGCGTCTGTAAAGAAAAGTGCACAAATTATGTAACTTTCAAAGCTGAATTACAATTTATAATTTTGTGTGCACCAATTGCTTATGCCTATAAGTCAGACGTATGTATGTATGAGGTGTTTTTCTGAATAATTAATTGATAATAATTAATAAATAAAAAATTATTTGTAAACATTATATTTAGGCTATTTTTATAGCCTATAGGCCTGCAGAAATTAGCCTATTAGACAAGCACCTAATGTTGAAATGTTTTGCATGAGAAATGGAAGAGCTTTGTTGTCGTTGTTGCTTGTTATTTCAGTAAAGTAATGAGACATGCATCTTAACGTGTGTGTTCTGGCATCATCTTATACATTATCCTATATTTGTAAAACGAATATAGCATTCATATCCAAATAGGCCTATATAAACACTAGCCATTTTCTTTCGATAAGCTGAAGTTTATAATATCTATAGCAATGTTATAAACTCAGACAACAGCATCTGAATTCAATTTACACAGACCATCCCCAATTTTGAGAACTACTGGTTTACTGAAATTACATTTCTTTTAGTGCCTTTGGGTGGCAGCACAGTCCAAATTGAAATGCCCTTTGATACACTGAAACGCAAATTGTAAATCCCGTCCATATGTAGGCTTACTTCTCTCCACATTTTCCGTCTGCTCAGACGTTTTTCCAGACCGCCGCTCATAGGCTGCCTTCAGATCCCACAAATAGATCCTGATCATTTATTTGTGACTATTCAGAAGCCTTCATACAGTGATATAGGCTACGAATTACTTGTGCCATAACGACAAAATTGCATAACGAATCTAGAGGTGTTGTTATTTTATGCATTTATAGAATAGAATCAATGATCAATTGTTAATGAAACATATTAACAATGTATCAGCTTATTTGAAATGCAATTGTATCAGCTCTGTAACAATCACAAATAAGTGGATGGTAGTAAAACTATTTCCTATTCTTTAAATAATAATATTTGAAAAAGTTGTGCAGAAATGAACTGCTGCTATACCGTTTTCCATTAAAAACGTTGGCGGTGAAACATTGTTGCACGATGTGACTTAATTAATTTCGAAAATGCAAAGATAAAAAGCCCAGTACACAAAAATAAACTGGATTATTTATTATTGCATTTAATTTCTGGTGTGTGTGTTTGTATTTTATTCTTATTGATGTCTTGGTGGTTTTGGTTTGCATTTAACTTGAGCAATTGCCATATGTACAACGAGAGTTTGTATTTGAAAATGCATTTGTTGGGCAAGTAATCTTAGCCTATGTCTAATAGTTATTTGAAGTTAAAATTATTTGAAAAGACTGTCAGAAATGAATACATTTGAAACGGGAAATGTTATGTCACTAATAATTTTATTCAGTTCACACATTTGATTGGAAATTGTACGTGTGTTTATTTAGGCCTATTTTCTATTTTATTTATTTTAGGTGTAGGCCTAATTCCGTTTTCTCTGGAAGCTGATTTCAACGGAACTTTTTGTTGGTATTTATTATTTACGTATCTATTTATTTATTTGCTTGTTCTTTTTTGGTTTGTTTTAAAATGATGTCTATATAGGCTAACATTGTATGTATAAAT